GTTGTTAAGGTAACCTATTTATTTTTTCCCTTGTCTCTACTTCGGTGTTTATTCTATCTTTTTAAACCATTACAAAGATTGCCAAGAATCCAATAATATATCAATATTCCACAAACATACTGTTGTTTGCTTTACCTTTCTTAGATTGACATATTTACTTATGATTTGTATTCCACTTGAATGAGCGATATTTCCTATAAAAAAAATACCACTTTTACTTCTGTTTATATTTCTTGATGCTTCAAGTGCAGTGCTGTCTTCAATTGCAGTATTTCTTTATATATTTGTTTAGATAAACCAAAATTGATAGCAGTGTTATCTTTAAATTCCAATAAAATATGTTATTAAAAGAGTTTAGAATCTATAAGGGTGCATGTGAGTGCCAAACTTTAGAAATATATAAAGGTGGAAACAAGATAAAAAATCACATGAAATAAGGGGGGAAAAATATTTTTCTAGTAAAAATGCATGGAATAAAGGAAATAATTTTTTTTTTTCAAACTCGAACGAGTAGTATTCTTCAATATGGATTTCGAACTAAATCCCAAAAGTAAAGTACCAAATTGAATCTTCACCACGTTACTAAATTTATGCCGACTTTTCTTCACCTATTCTACCCAACCTCGCAATTTGTATAAATGGGACCTCTTCATTACCTCCAATACAACACTTATACCCTTCTTAACCTTCAAGACTCCACTTTCCTCCAAAGAATGTGTACCTTTTTAAATTTAGAGTACTCAACGATATGATATTCTTTTTCAAATTTGGAATATGTCAAACCTCACTGAGTGATTTACATGATCCATCTAATAGTTTTAATTTAATTTTACCAATACCAGCTATGCGATAAAGTTCGTTATTACTCATGACAACGAATTGTGTCACCATTTCATATGTTTCAAACAAATCCCGATTGAGACATAAATGGAACGCACAAAGTCGTATGCAAAATCCACTCCTCATCAGATTAGGATACCAGATTAGAAATTGTTAAAACATCTCCATCAATCAAATAGTTCTCCACTATGTTGGTCTCTTCTGAAGTATTTGATTGCTCCCCGTGATTTGCAATTAGGTTACCTTTGTTCTGCAATTTTTCACAATCCCTCTTAATGTGTCATTTCTTCTTACAATAATAACATACATAATTATTGAAATTTGACATCGACTTACTCTTTTCCCAATAACCATGAAAAAGAAGGCTTTTTCCATCTCTAGCATTAGATCCAACTAGATGCTTCATCTTCTCTTTTGAAAACAAGGCATCATACGTATTGTCAATGGTGATAGTTTCACGACTATAAACAATCGTGTCTCTAAGTGAAGTAAATGAAGCTGGCAACAAACACGAAATGATTAAGGTCAAATTTCTTCATCATACATTACCTCTAAAGTTTTCAAATCAGTGATGATCTCCTTGAACACAGCCAAATGATCTTCTAAAGATTCGACTTCTGCCATGCGATGAGAACACAACCTCGACTTTAGAAGTAATTTGCTTGTCAGACTTTTAATCATTGACAATTGCTCCAACTTCAACCACAACGCAAATGCTATTTTTCACTTCAAAACATCTTGGAGTATATTGTTATAGAAATGAAGAGGGATCTGGGAAAGTGCCTTTTGATCCTTCCGTTGTTCTTCCTTCGTCGTTCAAGTTGTGGGCATTTTGTCATATTCCAACAACGCATCATCCAAATCCATTTGCGTAAGTATAGCTTGCATCTTCACTTGTCACAACAAGAAAATTGTATTGTTATCTAAGATCGAAATTTCATAATTCATGGCTGTCATCAATAACAAAAGAACCTCGATTAAATCACAACTAATAATACCGATATCACTTGTTGGGAAATAAAATGGATTGAGGTAATATATATGACACGATATAAAGTACATGATCGCAAACAAACAATAAGATAAAAGGCAAAAGATTAATTGGCAAAGGAATGTGATATTTTATTCAATTGATAATATGGAGAAAATAAATACAATAACTGTGCCTGTACAATTATTTTATATTTTAATAATACAAAACTTGGGAAAAAATGTTTAGGCTTTATAGAGTGCATTCCAAACTCTAAAAATACCACAAAAATATAAACAAGATAAAAAATCATGTGAAATAAACCAAAAAAATATTTTTCCAAAAAAAAATAAATAAATTGAATTCGAGTCACAAACCCCACATACGAAGGTGGTTGCCTGTGGTGGTGGTGGTTGTTGTTGCTGCTTGATGATGATGCAGATGGTGTTAATTATAGTTGGTGCAGATATGGTAGTTTGAGGAGATGGTAGTCATGATGGTGTTAACTGCGACGTTGGCATAATAACATTGTTCACACAATGTGTTATCAATTTATTGGCATCGATATTGGTTAATACAATGACGGCTATGTAATGCAATTTGTTACAAATTGTAACACTTTATGTAAGAATAATGCTATTTAGTATCACAGGTAAAATATGCATGTGATATTAAAATGAGAAATATAGTTGAATGAATTAATGAGAGTGCGTTTGATTGTAAGTATGAAATTTGTATGGAAAGAAAATAAATTCTATATAATTCAATTGCCTAGAACTTATTTGCATGGAAATTGTTAATTAAATGTGTTTGATTGATTTAATTTTCTATCTAAAAAATATTATACTTATCTGATTTTTATTGCTTGGTATAGATGAGAGAGAAAAAGAGAGTGAATTTTTTGAAAAATAAAATTCCACTCCTCCTAAATAAAACATTTTCCTTGATTTTAAGAAAAATATTGTCACGTGATTAAAACTAGGAAAATATTTTTATGAGAAAAAGTCAATCAAACAGCACAAAAGTAAAAAAAAAAAAAAAAAAAAAAAAAAAAATAAAATAAAAAAATCTTTTTTTCCACCCAAATTCCTACTTTTGTACTATTTGATTGATTTTTTTCATGGAAAAATATTTTCCTATTTTTAGTAACATGAATAAGGAAGATATTTTCTTTAGAGGATACAAATTTTTATTTTTTAGGTAATTCATTCTCTCTCTCATCTACTCTCTTCTCTCCCATCTGCTTACCAATAAAAATGGACAAGAATAATATTTTCTAGGTTGAAAATAAAATCAATCAAACACATTTAATTGACAATTATCTAGTATTTATTTTCTTTTCTTATAAATTTCATATTTGCAATCAAACATAACCTAAATTCTTTCATTGAGTCTTTCACTTATCATCATTTAAATTGATATTATAGCACTAGCGGTGCCCACGATCACGAAAACAATGGTATAATATTGTTTGTTTACAAGTGTTACAAAACGCATTAGGAAAAATGTAATCCCTATTTTCATAATAAAAAAATTAAAACAATATTTTTTGAAATAATTTATTGTTTTCGTATATTTGTGACGTATCCGGTTATATATTGCGTGGGCCTATTCTATTTAGGCCCAAATGGCAGACCTAGCACAGCCCAAAATCAAAATTGCTCCTTCAATGGAATATGAGAAAATGCCCAAACTGTGTTCTTCCTCATGAGCAATTTCTGTTATGTAGTTTTGCTTCCACTCCAGGCCTCTTTATTAGTTGTCTGCACACCAGTTAGCACTTAGCCGGTATGCCCTAAATCTATATAGTCATTTGCTCTGGGTAATCGATTTCGCTTACCCTAAATTCCAAATCTTTCAATTTCCTTTTTGTTTTGTGCATTTTCTTTGGTGCATTCTGTGTCGTGCAATTTTAAGTGAGGGTTTTCTCCCTATTCCATTTTGCATGATGGAGTTTATGCTTGGTTTTTGAATTTGGTTGATGCATTTAGTTTTGCTGGGTCAATATTATTTAATGGCGGCATTTTTTAAGACTATGCAATCAAGATTAGAATTAGAACTATCGAAGCCGATTGGTGATGGTAGAAATGTAAAAGTATGTATAAAAAGGGGGAAATGAAGATAGCCCTCCCTTTTTCTTAATGCTTTCTGCAATTGGATGTTATAAGGTGAATTTCCTATTTGATTAGTACGTATGTTAATTTTTTTTCTTCTCTGGAAATTGGCTATTGTGCTTTTGTTCATGACACTATCCTCTATGTATGTTAAAGCAGTATGATCAGTTGAAATATGTTGAAGTGAAGATTTTGCTATGCGAATGTACATAATGTTATTTTAACTTGTCATTTTCTTACTATACTGAGCTGCACCTATCTTTATTATCTTTTTAATTAAGCAGAACACTGGGAGAAGAGAAAAACCTTTGAAACTGTAGCAATAATGGTTGAGGTATGGTGGTCCCTGCTCGGGGCTGCTATTCCTGCTGTTATTGCTGGACAAGCTTTCCGACTGAAGAGGAAGCGCGCAGAGGAGCAAAGAATCAAAAGTGCTCACGGCAGAGAAAAGAATGCTGATGATATTTTTGTGTGCGAGAGAGTTTGCACGTCAAAGAGAATGTTGAAGAAGGTCGGCACATTCTCCAAGGATCCAATCCCGGATACATGTGTTACAGTTTGTGGCGTTTCCGAGCTTGATGCATGTTCTGATGCCTGTGCTCGTACGGTCTGTGTTAATCAACATCAAGTCCCCAACTGGAATGATGTGTGCCTCCGTAGATGTCAAAGTGAATGTCTTAAACTCTCTGCTACTCGTTCGTCGTAGTCTATCCTTGTGTCCGAAATCAGTATCTGGTTTCCCTTTGTACGCTGTATTGAATTATGGAATCTTCAACATATGTTAGAGGATTAATAATTTTCAATGTCTAGCAATTTTGTAAAGTTCCGTTCTGTGTGATTTTGAACTTGTTGTTGAACAGTTTTGCTTGTTTTCATGATAGCAAGGCAATTAAGTATTCCTTTTTTTTTTTTGTTGTTTGTGAAAAAATAATGTTATCTAACATTAATCGTGCAAGAACATCGGTCCATGTGGTAATATGTTAAATTAAAAGTGAAATTATATGATTGATTTAATTGAACCTGCGCTTTAATACACTAATGTTACCACCAAGACTGGTGTTAATTTGCTTTACTCTTGTGAAAATAATCAAGATTTCTTTATTGAAAAAAGAGAATATATTCTACATCAATGAAAAGTAGAATATAAACTAATGGCTTACATGGCCATTTAGCAAAGGGGGAAAAAGCCAAAGTACTCTCAGAAATTATTCAAAATTGAGCAAAAATAGCTTTTTAGACTAACTCCAACTTTGCACCAAAATTTGAAATGAGTTTTACACCATTTTACACCAAATTCTGCACAAAACTAAAAATTATCTCCAACCATTACACCAAAACTTACGCTAAATGAACAGTATTTAATCATTTTCTTTATTTTATTTATTTGAAAAATTATTTTTTTGTTTAGTTTACAACTACATAAATTACTGAATAAATAATTACGTTACATTAACGAAAATATTAAATTCATTACAGTATTGACATTATGTTTAATATGACTGTTGAATGACTTAATTTTATTGACTTCTTTTCTTTACCTGCACATTTTTATTTAAGTAGTAGTCAATGTCATGTGCGTTGCACGATTATTATATTTAATGTGCCTTTATTAGCGTGATGTAGAGATTTTAGTTTTCTAGGCATAATCCTAACATGCTTTTGAAATTTGAATTAAATTTTTTTGGAATGAATCTTCTCTAACAATTAGTAAAAATTAGATTTAAAATTGTGGGAATATAAGTAAAAGATAATTTATAATTTTCTGTGGAGTGCCCGCACAGATTGTGACTCTGTACCAATTTTCGTGTGGGGTGCGAAGTTCCCGCACCAATTTCGTGCAGAGTCCCCAACAAAGTTTTAGGTATGAAGTTCACACGATTTGGAAATAGCGCCATCTTGTGTTATTAAAATAACAGTAGTACATGAAAAGAAGTTACTCCTATTGAAATTTAATCCTGCAGCAACCACAAAAGACAAAAAATTTAAGCACTCGCAAGGGTTCTTGCCTTGAAGTTCTTTATGCATGACATGGGGAAAAAATAATCCAA